TACAGGATGTGTGTAGGTTATAGGCATTTTATATGAGGGACTTGAAGATTAGCTGTTGGGGCCCTGAAACCAATGACCCCTAAATGCTGAAAGCAGAGTGTGTAGAACAAGACAGACTCTTAAGCCTTTGAGGGGGAGGTGGGGGGGGGAGAAGAAGAAGGAGAGGGAGAGGGAGAGGGTGAGGGAGAAGGAGAGGGTGAGGGAGAGGGCGGGGGGAGGGGAAGGAAGGAAGGAAAGAGAAAAATAGAGAAAGAGAGAGAGAGGAAATAAAGAGGAAGGAAGGAAGGAAGGAAGAAAGCGAGGGTCTCCAGCCATGGGTGATAAGTACCACCAAGAAACAAAATGGAGCTGTGGTGGAGCCCCTGTGAGCTCTGCCAGGAAACCCCTCTTGGAGGTGTGAGGGAGAGGGCTTGGGAGTAGAACCTCAAAGTGCAGAGCTGGGCAGGCACAGTGCTCCTGGGAGATGGTGGACCTTGGAGGGTCTGAGACCAGAGACCCACTGCGGAAACACCCCCAACCTGTGGAACTTTATTTCTTCTACCACCTCATTTTCTCAATTTTAAAACCTGACCAGATGTGAGTGGAGGGAGCTGCTTAACTGTGTAGGTATAAAGTGATCTTTTATTTAAGGTCTCCAGCAAGAGAATTTTAATTCTCTGGCTTATGTGCTAATAAAGAATATTTAAGTACAAAGAGAATATATCAAACTTCTGCTGCTTAGTGGCTCATGGTGGCACATGCCTGTAATCCTAGCACTCTGGGAGGCTGAGGCAGGCAGACTGCAAGTTCAAGCCCAGCCTGGGCAACTTGGTGACTTAGTGAGATCCCGTCTCAGAATTCAAAAACTAATGGTTAAACAAAGGGCTAGGGATGTAACTTGGTATGAAAGATCTGGGTTCAATCCAGTACTGCAAAACAAAAGCAAAAAATCAATTTTTGTTGCTTAGGTACTGAGTTCCTAAGTAATGGGAATAAAGGATTGAATCATTATACGCTTTTAAAAACAAGAAGGGCCTTTAAGTGGAAATTGCTTTCTCATTCACTTGTTGTCATTGTTTTCTCTTCCTTTGAGAGGCTCTGAATCTGCCTCCCCTGGAAGGTAGAGCTTGGAGAGTGCTCTGGTGCCTTCCTTCTGCTGCCAGAATAACAGCATGAGGCTCAACTATATCCCTGAAAAGCCTGGCAGGGTTTCAGGAGGTAGTTGAATTGGAATGGCACTGGAGGATGGAAAGACTTCCCAGAGACTCAGGGACAGAGTACTGAATAAATACCCAATTAGGGGTATTGACTCCACTAGGGAACCTAGATAGCAGGAGAGCATTATTTCCATGTGTCTGGGACGGTAACTGATGTGTGAGTTCACAACCCGGTGGGGGAGATCTGCCCTAATGTGGACAGGTACTATTCAACACCCTGGGGTCTGACACAGGAAAAGTTGGAGGAAAAGATGGAACCTGTCCAATCCCCCCAGAGCCAGGATGCCCATCTTTTCCTGTCCATAAATGTCAAAAGTCTAGATTCTGTACCTTTTGCAATTAGAACTTGGTCCAGTCCCCCATCTCCCCAGGTTCTTGGCCCTTTGTCTTCAGACTGAGCATTACACCTTCAGCTTTCCTAGGTCTGAGGCTTCTGGACTTAGACTGAGACATGCTATCTATATTCCTGGTCTCCAACTTGCAGACTCTCAGCCTCCCCTAATAAATCCCCATCTGTCTGTCTGTCCAAACATCTATCCATCCTGTTGGTTTTGCTTCAATATCATTGATGGCCTAGGGTCTTTACTGTTAATGATGGGTCGTTGATTTCATCAATTATGTATAGAATTCGGAGGGAGGGTAGTGCAATCAGGATGAGGATTATAGCTATTATAGATTATTATATATTATTATAGATTATAGATAGCCCTAGCTAATATAGATTCTTTTCTTCATTTTTCTTAATTTAATTTCCTACCCCTTCCCTCCCCCAGTTTCTGGGTCCCACAAAACTCTGTAGATATTTTGCCACGTAGGCTCAGGTGGCAAATCTTATTATCTCATCCCCACTCAGTCCTGCCCCTGGCTTAGGAAACCATTCTCTATTCTGCAGGTCACTGAGGCTTGGTGTTACTTGTCGGGCTCTCTCTCAAAGCCTTCGTCCATAACTAGTCCTTTCTGTTTCTCTCATGGGCAAGACTCAAACTTCACAGTCTGAAAGAGACTTCTATCTCTGGGCCTCCTGCTGTCACACTGAAGAACAGAGCACAGGACAGTGCAGCTGTATGAACGGGACAAGAGGAAAGGGGGAACAGGAAATGCCAAACCACGGGTGAATGTAAAGACATGATCCCTCCTTTTCTCCTCTACCGTGTACTTCCAATACATTATCGCTTTTTATCCCCAGTGCAAGGTAGGAATATGATCTCTCTTTCATAAAAGAAACATTAGCCTGGAGAGTCTGAGAGACTCCCAGGTCCCACAGCGAAGGGCAAGAGTGGGGGGTGCTTGGATGTCTTGATTTTTCAGCCCTGTGCCAACTTCACAAAGTTCCTACAGTACTGTATCCTCTGGTATCACAATTCATAGTACCTACCTGTGTCAGAAACTCCCAGCCCATGCTTTGCCAAGGTAAATTATGTTCATTTGAGTTTAGTTGCCCTGATCTTCTGGCTGAAGGATAATTTGTCCATGATAGGGATAAGGATGATATGAATACTCTCAAGTAGTCTCTGGTTCTATATTGCCCCTAAATTAGCTTCTGGGCAGCCACTAGTTTGGAATGTTTTGCAGCTACAGTAATGGCCCCCTTTCTCTACAGTCAATTGGGTCGACAATACAAATCAGCAATTAAAATTGCCCAAACAATTTGACCACAGTCAGGTACTTTTGGGTCTATGGATATCACTGAAATTTCCTGGAGAAGACTGCAAGCTGAAAGGGCCCAAAGCTCAGCTCCTGGGTTGCCAGCCTTCTCCTGACAGCCTGGTGGTATTATATAGGCAATAAAAGGTGACAAGGATGTGTTGGCCCATGTACCCATTCACTGAGAAGATCTTTTCACAAATACCCCTGAAAATTACTTGTTCTTTAGGTCGCACAATTCTGTCTACATTGGGGTCTGCTGAAGCCTACAAATTCATGATCCAAAATTCCTCAGTTATGGCTTGTGTCTAGATGTTCCCCCAGGACCTCATGCAGTCATAGGTGGGGCTTTTTCAGAGGTGGCTGAATTTAGAGTGTGTGACTGATTCATGGGGCAATGCTAGGATTAAGGGCACTAGGATTAAGGATAGGTGATTACTGAATCAGTCCACTGATTGGTTTGGCACTGCTCTAATTCCTATAGACTGGATACAATATAAGGGACAGAAAGAGGCTTGCCTTCTCCCTTGCTTGCTTGCCTTGCTACCTTCTGCCCACTATGAACTGTTTCTCTTCTGCAATGTCTGTCTTCCATACCACCCTGCCTTGGAGCAAGCCGATTATGAACTGAAACCTCTGCAAACTGTGAGCTAAATAAGTCTTTTCCCCTTTAACTTTGGGTGTTGAGTATTTTGTCTCAGCAATGAGAGAAAAGTAACTAAGACACTCACCATGTCAGCCCTGCATGTAGCCAATTTCATACAGAAATTGTCCTCTGCTGAGGACATGACCCCTAATCACAAAGGAAATTATTGATTCTGATCATTTTTTCCTCTTAAGGACTAGATATTTTTACACTTTCCTAAACTCTCTCCACCTTGGTTTGGTGGGAAGCACTGTTTTTACTCTAAGGAATCCTTCTTAAATTTGTGCAAATTAGTCAAATATTTGCTAAGTGGCCATCATGTGCAGGGCATAGAATATGAGAAGCTATAAGAGGCAGTAGTGTATGTAAGTACAAAAGATATGCTGGGGCTCCCTGACTTTTTCTTATCGCATTGTGTTGTGCTATGTAGGATGTGATGTGGTATTAACAATAGCCACAACTGGTAAGTTCTCAAATTCATAACCCAGCTCTATCTCCTTCTCTATATTTAAAATAAAAATAAATAATTTCCATCATCACCTGGAAAATAATATCTAAATTCTCAAGCATAAATAAAACATTTTATATTTCTATAATTTTTCAAAAATTAAAACCAAGTTTTAATTTTTCATACTCTCCTAATCAAGCCATTGAGTTTTCCCAAGCTAGTGGGTTTACTTAGGGTGGAGTTTCCAACTTTTCAGAGATGACTGCATGGCTGGCTGTCCTCCATCACTGTAGTTGTTCAATAGCACAACTTCTGTTCATTCAACAGAACTAACAGAAATAATTTATGTCTCAAGAAGCAAGCTTTGAATCTTCTATCTCTTTCAATGCATTCAGATAAGACAGATCAATAAACCCACAGTTACTTGAGACACTATAATCCTGAATTTAAAAGTATTTCTAAATGTATGGGATCTTTACTTCATAATAACAGGTAGAGCTACTTCTTTCTTAAATTAAAATTTCAGAAGAAATACATGTATAAATGTGCTCTGGTATGGAAATAGCATTCCATTTAGAGTAATACCAGTTTCTTTGAAGTGATACATAAAACCACTGGCCTTGGGAATGCAGGCATGTTTTACTTCTATCCCAGATCCAAAAGGTTGGTAATCATATTTCTAAGAACCAGCACTGTGGATTGTTAAGATGACACAAAAACAGAAGAGGAAATATATTAAGAGATAATTTCCAAGCTGGGAGTAGTGGCACATGCCTATAATCTCAGCACTCTAGGAGGCTGACATAGCAGGATGGCAAGTTTGAGCCCAACCTGGGCAATTTAGCAACTTAGTGAGACTCTGCCTTAAAATAAAATTTAAAAAAATTTAAAAAGATGGAAGGGCTTGGATACAGCTCAGGGTGAAGTGTAACTCAGTACTGGGTTAAAACTCTAGTACCATAAAAAAAAGAGAGATAATTTCTTGGTAATGAAGTTCTCTAGGGAAAAGCACATGCACAATTATGAATAAACACATTACTATAAAATATGAAGGAGAAAACCTTACCCGAATCCAGAAAGTAAGCGACAGAAGAGAAAGAAGCCATAACCTTGGACAAATGAAGAAAGGAAGGCAAAGAATCCGTTGACAGACATGCAAATCAGAAGAGACTGTTTCCTTCCCACTTTGTCTGCCAGTCCTCCCCAGAAGAACGCCCCCACCATCATCCCGAGGTACACTATGCTGCCTGCAACACACAGAAAACAAAGAGATACATCAGAGATTGGAAGTCAATGACACGTCACAGCAAATGAACAAGGCACAAAATACATTCCAGTATTTCTCATGGGGAAAATGACCTCAGAAAACATGTCTGTCAGGATACAGTAATCAGCTTTCAAGTAGGAAAGTAAGCTCTGCCAGCTACTGCTGGTTACCATGGGCAGTTAGTTGCAAGGGCTGATGGGAAGTCATTTCCATTATCAACTCATGGAGAAGAAGACATAATGGTCATGTGCCATATCAGCCTTGTGGGGAAGGACATACAGTGGGCAAGAATTAGAAGTCTCCTTGAGCAGTAAGCTTGAAGTTTGACTCATGGTCAGGTCACCTTTGGTCCAAATGTCCAATGCAGTCCCAAGACAAGGCCAAGATAGGGGACCAGTTCAAGGGCACCCAGGTCAAAGTAGGCCTGCCAGAGTGTTTCAAATCTCTGCCTATAGCAGATGACTGTCACCAAGGCCAGACCCTTAAAGTGCTTCTGGAGGGTTCTATGGGTTCTCTCTCTCTAGGCCAGTGGTGGCGAACCTATGGCACTTTGTGTCATGGTGTTTTTTTTTTAAGACAAAAGATGTTAATGTAGAGTTGCTTTTTTCTAAACTAAAACCTCAGTATTCAGTTATAATTGCGGTGTTGACACTCTGTGATAAATAAGTGGATTTGGGTTGCTGTTTGGGCACTCAGTCTCTGAAAGGTTTGCCATAACTGCTCTAGGCTTTCCTGAAAACCCTGGCTCTTCCTTGGAATTTGGGGAGGTAGGCTTAGAGATTATAGTTCATTTTAAAAACGATCTCTAGGTCTATTCATCAAGAAAGAATCTTGGAGTCAGGAGCTTAAGGAATTCAGGGAGAAGGGAAAGAGCAGGGAGATACTAAACTTATCATGGTTGGCTCTGGTCTCTAAGGGAAACAAATAGAAAATCAGGAGTTAGACAGAGGTTCCTCTTGGTGTCACCATGAGTAGACACTTGAATTTTCTAATTCACTTTGTTCTTCTAAAAAACCAGACCTCTACCAACCCTGTCTAAAATCTTTGTCAGGATAAAATCATATTAAGTGTGGCAAATGTTGGTTCAGAAAAGTTTTTTTAAAAAGGATACACAGTGTCTAGAGAGAATAACACAATTAATGAGGTTTGCCATATCCAGATGTGGCAATAAAGAAGTTGCCACTTCACCTTCCATCCATTTCTGCTTTTTCCTTTGGTTCACTCAAGAACCATTTTCTAAACACATTCCAGCAATACTGTGGCATCAAAGTAAGAAAGTAAAAACAAACATTGGTGCATTTATTGCTTTAGATTACTTTGGGAAATAAAATATTTAAATGGCCACAAATTAGTGTGTTAACTACACAGTTAATGAATCAACAAGACTCAGAAGGAAATCACTTCGCAAGGGCTCACAACCACCCCACCAATGACATGAGCTCTGCAGACAGCTGAGTACACAGAGCTACAGGGAGTGCTGGATGTTGGGAACAACTGTAACATCAGACAAAACCTGAGCTGTTTCCAATTAGACTGGGAGATTGCAAAGAGGTGAGTGGTCCATCTTTGCCTGGGTGTGGAAGGCATAATTATCTGTCCCACGGGAGCAACTATACACAGATTATCCCTCTCAGTAGAGATTACTCATATCATGAGACTGGATGCATGTCCAGCAGGCGGTTTAAAGAATGTATCGGTACAATGGAGGGAGTTGCAGATGCAAACAGACTGATCCAGGGAAATGCATAGGCAGAGTATCTCTTATTTATAAGGAAAGAGGCTCAAGTTGGCCACTCAGGCCTCAGAAGGATAAGTGGTAGCTGAGCATCTTCATAAAATCGTCTGTCCTTGAAAGTGCCTACAAATCAGAAAGCAGGCTGCCGCAGATCTGGCACAGCCCATGGCTGTGGCATTCTAAAGACTTAGAAGCCTTTCTTGTAGCCCCAGGCCCAGGAACAAAGCTTCCCCTTGCCACTTGTGTACTATACCTCCCATCCACCCCAAAGGTAAACAGCATGACAGGACAGCAACACTAACCCAAGGCCTCTTGTTGTTCCCATCCTCACTCTATGCAGAAAGCGAGAGCAATACAGAGGCAAGCTTTCTGCATTTGACAGCCATCCATTTACTATCTTTTAATGATAGTGTATTATCCCAGCTGTGGCCATCAGTTTGTGTCAGAGATTCTTTGAAGAATGTATCATACTTTGCTTCTTGTATTCCTCACCACAACGCTGCAAAGTATTACTAACCCATTTCATAGATGAAGAAACTGAGGCTTAGATTAGGCAATTACATCTACCAGATACAAAGTGGCAAATCAGGGTGGCAAAATGATGTTCCTCTGACTAAAGCTTGGAAGTCTTTCTCAGCTCTGAGACTCAGTTGGATCCTCCAATGGGACCCCTTTGACCTGAAACTAAAGAGTTAAAGCCTGATGCCCCAGCAAATGCCTAGAGCTACAAAAGACCTGCTCTGATGCCCAGATTGTTCCTGTTATTAATTTTGAATATTAACACTGTTCTTTCTCTTGAGCTCATGTGAGAAACACCTATTATATGCAAACCAGGAAGCAAGTGATATAGACAGAGGAGGCTCTCTAGGTGGGGGTCAGAGCTTCTGCTCGACCACAACCTTGTTCTGTTTAAAAAAAAGGGATCAGAGCACCTGGGGCAAGCACAGAAAATTCAGGTCCTCACCCTATATCCTAAGCACCCCTCATTTCCCTCCTTCCTCCTAACAGCCTGGTCTTGCAGATGTGTGGATTTTGACTCCTGAGAGAATGGAGTTTATAATCTAGGAAAGTGGCTTAACAGAAAGTAAGCCAGAGGGACGGGGATTTAGCTCAGGGGCACTGTGCCTGGCTCACAAGCACAAGGTCCTAAGTTCGATCCCTGGTACCACAAAAAAAACAAAACAAAAATGTAAGCCAGAGGGAAGCAGCCAGGCCACAACCTTCCCCGGCCTCACCAGGTTACCTGACAAGGGCAGACAGTGCTGAAATGTGCATCGGTGTCTCTGGGCTCTAGGTTCCCACATTCTCGTGCTAGTCATCAGGATGGCCTAAGCAGGAGCTCATGACTCAGTAGGGGACACAAATGGATACATAGCCAGGCAAGCCTGGGCCCAGTCAGTGCAAGCTCCACAGGGGGGTGTACACAGAGAGAGGGCAGAGGTCGACCTCGACCTCGGGAAAGAGCTCACGAAGAAGAGAATGTCTGAGGGGAGCCTGAAAAACAAGAAAGCTTTCAAAATGGATTTGAATTCCTCCACACTGGCAGGTTTATAACAAAAAAAGTTATATTAAGTGGTATCTTATCCTCACTTGTACTCTGGCTAAAATTACATTTAAGATTTAATGGTGATACTCTTTTGTGACTATGCTTGGTACTATTGGTACTTGGTAATTTCCATTGGCCAAGCAATGGAAAGTATTAAGCCAACAAGGTAGCTTATTTGTGAAAAGGGCAGCACATGTTCATTTGTTGATCATATGACTTATTTAAAGCCAAACCTTTGTTGGCGCAAGGTGAATAAAACTATAATCATGCTGGGCTTGTCAGAATACAGACTGTATTTCCTGTCTCATTTGAGTTCACCTTTTGTTTTGTCTTCATGGTGTTATAATGAAAATCTTTGAAAATTCAGGATAGATGCCACCAGATACACTATGCCTTCTACACGCCAGGCCTCAAGTTGCTGCTGCTGCTGGCCAGAAGTACAAAGGATCCAAAGCTCCATGTTTTATAAGAGGGAAAATTGAGGTTATGAGAAAACAGAATTTGAAACCAAGTCTTTTAGATCCTGGGTCTTCAAAGTACAATCTTCAGACCAAGGACCTTAAGGTAGAAATGCAGACGGTAAGGTCCCGCTGAGACTTACTGACTTGGACTCTGCATGTGAACCTCAATCCCGAGTAATCCATGTGCTTGTTTAAATCTCAAAGTACTTTTAGGCTGCCAAGTTTGCCGCAGAAACAGACAACCTCTGTAATGCATTTCTTGCCTCAAGTATTGTATTTGTCCAGTAGGTGTTAGAGGAGAGAAGATGTGGCCCACAGGAAACTTGAAAGACATGGGACAGGCACAATCTCCCTGGATGAGCTGGACATCTCACCCAGCACATGGCGCTGTGTACTCAGGAAGGACTCACCTCCCCCAGGACCTGCATTCAAGCAGTATTAAGTGAAGCCGGCCATGATTCGTGGATTCTTTTATGAATTTAATAAAGCTTTAATTCGGTCAGGCTTTTGAAATGTTGAACCTGCCCTTCCCATAGCTATGCTGATGGCGCTCTTGGCCGCCCAGCCTCTCAGTCTTGAGAAGGCAATCAAAGACCAAGCATGAATTTCTCATCACAGATTTGCTAACATGAGGGCTGGTTCCATTTTATTTAATCACACTATTATAGACAGCTAAGTTAGATAAAAATTAATATGTAGTCAGAGAAGGATCAGACCCTCGAGGAAGTCAATACAAACAAATAAAGGCATCAGAACTGTGGCAGGAGGCAAACCTGAAGAAAGCCAGGCCTTAGGATGGAGAAGGAATGGCCAGGCCTGAGAGGATCCCTAGAGATAAGCAGAATCTTGAGATTATACTGTAATTAGAGCCACCTGATCCAGGGGGCCCTCGATAGGCATCAGACACATAGGTGTGGGACCAAACACCTGGACACACACTCCTTCTAAGAATTCCTTTCTTTCCATGTACCCCTGTGACTGATTTCCCTATGGGATGAGTATTAGCTAAGCAACTATACTTGGAATCCAACAGGTTGATTGGAGTCTGGCCCATGTTGTACCCACGTTGTGATTTTGCTGTATAAATTACCTCGAACCACTCACTTGGGACCCCTCCTGGAAACCCAGGAGCTGTTCTCTTCTTCTTCCCAATAAAACTCTCCTACCTTCCCAAGTTTGTGACTTTACTCTTTGGTGTTGTGAGACCATGAACTTAGCACATCTGACATCTAACAGGT